TAGCATTTATTCAAGATCCTGATGGCTACCGGATAGAAATTTTGAATCCTAACAGAATGATAACTATTATTTAGTTCTATGAGAATAATGCTTTGAGATTTCAGTGAGAGCACTGTGGGAGGTAAAAAAGTGAAACAATGTGATTGAGATATTCGGATAACAGAAGCATCTAGGATTGATGATTCACTGTCCCAATTCAAATTATTCTTAAGTCCATTTCCCTTCCTATTTCAGCTGTGTTTTTAACCTGTCTATTCAGTCATTCTAGTTTTAAAAGTAGTACTTTGTCTTGTGTCCTTGAATGTAGTTGTATAACATTACTTTTTTCAGTAATAATTAGAATAGTTCCCTTCAGAGGCTGCATCTGATTTGCCTTCTCTCTTCTAACTATGTCTTCTCTACAAGCTTGCCTTTGAATCATCATTTTAAAAAAACACTTAACATGTTCTTATTGTGGCTACCTTCTGAAGTTTCAGGTCCTCAGAAATAACTTTTCACACTGGAAAGTAAAGAGCACTGAACAAAAATGAAAAAAAAACCCATGATGGATAAAACTGCTGGCACCAACACCAGAACTTGCAGTAAAATGGAAACAAAAAAAGTTTTAAGAATATCCTTGATAAAGAGATCATTTATTTTATTAAGTCTCGATTCTTGAGTATATATGTTTATAATATTCTGTGTGACCAAATGTGAAGTGTATATAAAGAACCTCTGTCGCATACAAGAAAATATGGTGGTTGTCCGGAGGAAAAGTATTTGCATGACTGTTTTAACTGTGACCTGAATTTGCTTTTTTTAAAAATAATCATTCAACACCATTTTTATTTAAAAGAGTTACTGACAAACGATAGTAATTAAGACTTAGATATCTGGCAGTCGTTTTTTCTAAATGAAGACAGCGAAATCGTCACTTCAAGAAAAACAATGGACAGCATTTGTTGCCAATATAAAATTCAAATTTTTACTTGAAAGCTCAATTTTGAAAACTTGAGTTCTTCACTGAGAGTATGACAATTTCCTAATAGACTTTTCTGATGAGATTGGTAGTAATATTAACAAACGTAATTTTAAATTTTTATATAATGAAATATGTCAACATTTGGAACATCTATATAACTAGGTATTATCAATATTTTCCAGCTGACCAACCAACACATGGTGTTACAAAATCTTGAATGGGTTAAAGATCTTTTCATAGTACAGGGTAAATCAATGGATCTTAATGTAACATATGTAAAATTCCTTAATATGTCTGCAGATTCCACATCATATCCACTCTTTAAAGAAACTACCACTTGTCAGAAGCATATACTATGTTCATAGATAGGAAAAAATAACATCATTAAAATGTCCATACCACCCAAAGCAATCTATAGATTCAAATCAATTCCTATCAAGATACCAATAGTGGCCCTGGCTGGCGTGGATCAGTGGACTAAGTGCCGGACTGCAAAGCAAAAGAGACACTGGTTGGATTCCCAGTCAGGGCACATGCCTGGGTTGCGGGCCAGGTCCCCAGTAGGGGGTATATGACAGGAAACCACACATTGATGTTTCTCTCCCTCCCTTCCTCCTTGTCTCTCTAAAAATAAATAAATTAAATCTTAAAAAAAAAAAAAAAGATACCAATAGTGTATTTCACAGAACTAGAACAAATATTCCAATAATTTACATCGAACTACAAAAGACCCTGAATAGATACAGCAATCCTGAGAAAGAAGAACAAAGTTGGAGGAATCACACTAACCTGATATCAAACAAAGCTGTAAAGCTGTAGTAATCAAAACAGCATGGTGCTGGCATAAAAAGACATAAATCATGGAACAGAATAGAGAGCCCAGCAATAAACCCACACCTTTATAGTCAATTAATATTTGACAAAGGAGGCAAAAACATACAGTGTGGTGATAGTCTATTCAATAAATGGCACTGAGAAAATTGGACAGATACATGCAAAAAATGAAACTAGACCACCTTCTTAAACCATACACAAGAATAAACTCAAAATGGATCAAAGACTTAAATGTCAGACTCAAAATCATAAAAATCCTAGAACACAGGCAGTAAAATCTCAAACATTTCTCACAGCAGTATTTTTTCTGATGTATTACCTTGAGCAAGGGAAACAAAAGAAAAAAATAGACAAATGGAACTACATCAAACTAAAAACCTTCTGCACAACAAAGGAAAACATCAACAAAGTGAAAAGGCAACCCAATGAATGGGAGAATATATTCACTGATATATCTGATAAAGGGTTAATTTCCAAAACTGATAGGGAACTTGTAAAACTCAACACCAAAAAAACCCAAACAATCCATGTAAAAAAATGGGCAAAAGACATGAACAGATACTTCTCCAAAAAGGACACAGAGATGGAAAACAGACATATGAAAAAATGTTCAACGTCACTAATCATCAGAGAAATGCAAATTAAAACCACAATGATGTGTCACCTCACACCTGTCAGAATGACTATCATCAATAAATCAAGAAACAAGTGTTGACAAGGATGTGGAAAAAAGGGAACTCTCATGCACTGTTGGTGAGAATGCAGACTGGTGCAGCCACTGTGGAAAGCAGTATGGAGATACCTCAAAATATTAAAAATGGAACTACCTTATGACCCAGCAATTGCCCTTCTGGGAATATACCCAAAGAAACCCAAAACACTAATTCAAAAGAATACATGCACTCCTATGTTCATTGCAGTGTTATTTACAACAGTCGAGATGTGGAAGCAGCCCAAGTGTCCATCAGTGAGTGGATAAAAAAGCTGTGGTACATTTACACAATGGAATACTACTCAGGCATTAAAAAAGAAGGAAATCTTACTATTTACGACAGTATGGATGGACCTGGAGAATATTATGTTAAATGCAATAAGCCAGTCAGAGAAAGACAAGTATATTTCACTTATTATGTGGAATCTAATGAACAAAATAAAATAACAAAATGGAGACAGACTCATAGATAGAGAACAGACTGAGATTTGTCAGAGAGGAGGAGGTTGGGGACTGGGTGAGAAGGGTGAAGGGATTAAGCAAACAGAAAAAAACAGACTCATGGACACAGAGAAGTGTGGTGACTACCCGAGGCAATGGGGGGTGGTGGGAGGTAGAAGAGGAGAAAGGGGGATAAATGGTGATGGAAGGAGACTTGACTTGGGGTAGTTAACACACAATACAATATACGGATGATATATTGTAAATTGTACACCTGAAACCTGCATAATTTTGTTAACCAATGTCACCCCAATAAATTCAATAAAAAAAATTAAAAAATAAAAGAAACTACCACCTGTCAAGTTTTGGTGTAGAATCAAGTAAGAATATCCACAATTATTTGGAAAGTAAAAAAGCTATTAAAGTGTTCCTCCCTTTGCCCACTACAAATGTGTAAGGCCATATTTTCATCTAGTAACCAAAACCACATTATCACAGCCGGTTGTACACAAATGTAAATATGAGAATCTAGTTATCTTCCAGTAAATCAAATATTAAGATTTGCAAAACAATGTAAAAACAATGCTGCTCTTCACATAATTGCTTTGGAAAACAGAGTTATTTTTCATAAAAAGAACATGTTAACATGTGCTAAGTGTCTTTTTATTTTTATATGAATTATCATTTTAAACATTTCTTGGTTTTAACTTCTAATTCAGTAAATATCAACACATAAAACTCACATACACAAAGCTCTATGGTATACTCAGTAATTTTTAAGAGTATAAAGGGATTCTAAGGCCAAAAATTCAAGAAACACTGATCTAAGTTATACAAATTAAAGCAAAATTTCCAGCAAGTTAGCAAAGGTAAAATAATAATGGTAATAATAACAATATCTAATATCCATGGCTATAAAGATGTAGAGAAGCGGCCATTCTCATCTGCTTCCAAAAGTTAAACTCGCAAAATAACTCTGAAAGAAAATTTGGCAACACATATCAAAAACCTTTTTAAAAAAATGAGAGAGCTTGGAATCAGCAGTTCTCCTAGGAATCTATTTGAAGGAAAAATTAAAGATATGACAGTAGTTATTTTACTTCAAGTAGTTACTTTACTTCAGGGCTATACAACTACAACACCTGATAATGACAGAAACTGGAAATGACTTAAATTAGAAAGCATATTCAGCTGTGACAAATTATGTTTTGTACTAATTAATAATACATTAGCAAAAATTTTAAAACAGGTTACAAAACTGTAGGTATAGCAGGAACCCAGTTTTATGTATCTGAAAAAATATAGCAAGGTATTAACAAGTAAGCATTAGTAAGGTTTGGGGCATTTGATTATTTTTATTTATCTGTATTTTTTAAGTTTAATTATATTTTAACTAACAAGTCATATATGAATACAAGTAATACAAGTAATAGGTGAAAAAATATAAAGCTATAAGAAGAGTTACCATTTCCATCTCCTTAAAAACATACCCTGTCCAATTGCATCCTCCTGTGATAAGCCAATGTTAACAGCCTACTAGTGCACAGCCATTTGTACTTTACCTATGTTCATGCCTAACAGGCAAACATCTTCCCATATACTCAATCAACAGATATACTGACATCCCTTATTTATTTACTTTTCTTTAACTTAAAAAAAATGTTTATTGGTTTTAGAGAGAGAAGTGTGGGGGGTTAGAGAGAGAAACATCAATGTGAGAGCGAAACATTGATTGGCCACTTCCCATACTCACCCTTACTGGGGAGTGAACCTACAACCTAGGTACGGGCCCTGACAGGGAATCGAATCCCCCACCCTCTGGTGTACAGGACAACATCCCTTACACTCAAAGTTTGTAGGTTCAATCCCCGGTCAGGGTGCGTATGGGAAGCAACCAATCAATATTTCTCACATCCATGTCTCTCCCTCTTTCTCCCCCTTCTTCTCTAAAATTAATAAATGTATTAAAAAGAAAAAAGAAAATAAAGCCTTGCACAAAAGGGCACATTTTGTTGTATTACACATATGATATGGTACAAATAGATAACTCACCTAAATGGGGAAACAGATCAGTGTCCAACTGATGTTTCTGGGTGCACAGTTTCACCAGTCTCTGCAGTCGACTTATACAAGAGAAGTGTGGAGAGAAGGCTGTGGCTTTCATAAGGACCCGGTCAGTCCTGGGTGGGTCCACAACCGGAGCCCTACTGGATGGCAGGAGGGGCAGAGGCCTCTTGTGAGGCAACTGCCTCGCTTGTGCTATAGTGTGTGTGGTGGGGGCCACTCCCTGCAGTGGTAGGCTGGTGTTCTGAGGTTGAGGTGACTTGCAGACTAAACCCTGCGGTGGCGCTGGAGGTTTTACAGAAGTGGATAAAGGTGACAGGTGGGAGTGCTGCTGTGGAGGCTGCGGCTGTGAAGGTGCAGGAGGGGGACTAAAGTGCTCTTGTCTAACTTTTAAAATCTCTGTCTCTCTCTGGCGCTGCCGATTCTGGGCCAACTTGCTCTGCAACTTCTTTCTCACAGTTACCCCTTTCCTTAGGTCATCATCTTCCTCGTTGAAAGCAAATGGGTCTTCCAACTCTGTTTCCAGGTAGTGGAGAGGGACTCTTGCCCCCGGTGGAGAGAGGGACATTCCATCCAGTCCATTGGGCACCTTCAAGGCCAATGTGGGCACCGTCAGGCTAAAGGCCATGGTATCCATCTGGTGCCTGACCTTTACCTCATCTATAGGATCATTCTTTTTCTTCCTCTCTTTTTTCGGGATAAAGCCAAGTACCTGCAAGTGGCTGTTGCAGTACCTTCAAAAACACAAACGGACATGGGAAAATGTTCATGATACACATTAAGTAGAATATAAGACTACTTTTTAGAAAATGTGAATCCTAGTATGTTAAAAATGTATGACAAGAGTAACCACTGACATTCATGAATTTCATATATGCAACGTCCACACTCTGAAGCAACCCTCAAAGTCTGTGCAATTTTGCTAGAGCAAATACGTGACCCGTACATGTGCAGAGGCTGCCAGACAGACACAGTGAGTGGCCAGCGATCGCCTCTCAGGCCGCTTTGTTAGTCTGTATTCATAGCAAACAAAGTAACTCATCAAGAATCATTTAAAAGTCTCTTATGGAAAAAAATATTTATGTTCCAATGCCATTCAAGCATTTAGAGATTCATAAAGGTCTTATGACATAACCCTTAAGAATGTCAAGTGTCCACTGTAAGCTCTACACACAGAGAGAACAGATTCATAAAGCTTTGGCCCACAAGAGAAAGGGCTTCAGCAATAACTATACTAGGAAGCTTACCCATAAGTAGTAAATAGTTTTTGTTGCTGTTTTCCACTCACTTTCAAATTCACAAAAGGATTAGTTGTTTTGTTTTGTTTTGTTTTGTTTTTTTAGTGGAGAAAAATGAGGTGGGGAGTTTTTTTTTAAATTTAGAAATCAGACTTTCCTGCTCATTTACACGTAGGCAGCATCGAGGGGTCAATGAGGCTACTATGTGCTTCATTAGGTGACACAGCGGAGGCTCGCTGCGCGGCCAGCGCCCCTGAACCGCCCTCTCTCTTGCTCCGGCCGCTGCGGCAGCACTGTCACAGCAGAGTCTGACCTCCTAAAACCCCTGCTGCCTCTGCTAAAACATGCTCCACTGCGAGAATCAGAACAGCTTACTTGGTTATGGACAGCATTTAAAATGAGTATGCAAATATGAATTTCTAGTCTAAAAGCGTTATTACACAGGGGAGTAACTGCTAATGGGTTCTTCTGGGGGGATGAAAAATGTAAAATTAGACCGTGGTGATAATTGCACAAGCCTGTCAATCTAATCAAAAATACTGAATTGTATACTTTAAATAGGTAAATTGTATGGAATGTGAATTATATCTTAATTAAACTTTTAAAAAATAAACATACAGATAACAAGAAATTTCTTGGTAAATATAATATACATACTACTAAAATATACTAAAAATTATTTTATATAAAATAACCAACTTAATATAACCACTCACCTCTGAGAAACCAAGGTTACACTAAAGAGCCTTGGCTTAGAAAATGGACTTTACTTTTTAATTACACCAGTACTTCTCCCAGATATAACACTATTCTATTTCAAAAAGCTGGAATCCCGCAAGTTAGCATTTATAATACACACCAGAGAAGTTAGGCGCCAGCTATCAAGACGCTTCCTCTAACTGACAACCAACCCGAAATTTTGTCAATTAAAAGTCCTTGGAAATTTTTTTTCTAAAACAATACATACACCATCTCAAATCTGTAAGTGTCCAAGGAGTAACTGCATCAATAATGATGAAAGTAATTTTTGAAAGAATATTAATCTTTTCTACAGTATGTAATGTAGTATAGTTACAACTGTCAATATTTATACACAGTTCAACCTGGATTTCTTGAGGTAACATAAGAATTTTACCTGCTGCTAAAGTCTACTTTAAAACATTTCAAACAATCCTACAAATGAAAATATTAATACCAAATATATATGTATATTTTAATACCATTTGCATTCATATGTCCTTAGGCTAATTTTGAAAAAAAAATATGCATATTAGCACTTATCAAGTACAGCTTTTCTCAACATAGTAACACAAAAATCCTTTCCCTTATCTTGTCCTAAGAAAGAAATTACTTAAAATATGTAGGTGAAGATATATGCTTCCAGAATCAATATTCTGGACAAATTCAGAGTGACTCCCACTTTACTTCCCGATGTTAGCTATAAGTTTATACTTGCTTCAGCTGAACTGAAAAAAAAAATCCAAAGTTGACAATTACAACTGTGATAAACTAAATTTAAGACAAAACTACAGAGATGTGTTTATAATGGAGCTTGAAGTAAAATCCAAGTTCTTCCATTCTCTAAGTTTAAAAAAGGCAGGAGTAAGAAATTAACATTTTCAGTCTGCTGAAACCGACTAGACAGATATGTTTACCCTAATACAGTGGTCCCTTTCTCACCTGAGATTAAAATTTTATTCCTTACCTCACTAAGCAGCTGTTTCTAACTTTCGGGTATTGTAATTTGAAGCCTTAAGTGCTCTTTAGAAATTCTAACAGAGTATTCCCAAATCACCACATTATACTATACTAATTCTTGTGGGATCTCTATCAACACGAATTATTTCTTTCACCCTCAAAGTGTAAAAATTGCTCAATGTGACATTAAAATACACGATTCCTTTTCAACCAATTTATACAGGTGATATGTGCGTAGGTATAGGAACAAGGATGATATCTTCTAAGACAGAAGTAAAAAGTTCATCTGTGTTCCTATACATAAGCAATATATATGTATATATATTCTGAGAGGTAAAAAGTTCAAAATTTTCTACCTAAAGATAACAGGTATTTGAAATTGCCTTATTAAATAAGTATGCTTCCCTCTGTAAAATCCTACAGTGATCAACATGGTTTCTGGAGAACTAAAGAAAGAGACGTGAAAAAGAGGCTGTATGTGAAATACAGTGTGAATTTTCCTACAAATATGAAAGATGAACAACCAGCATAAGACTTCTTCTTTAAAAATACCTTATTTTATTTTTTTAAACTTCAGCAAAGCATAAATTCATAATTCTAGTAATAAAACCTACCCTTACTATGAAAATAGTTTCTAATTTATATTAAACATACTCTATATAGAACTCTTTTTAACCATAAAAGGCAAGATTATAAAACAGACTTGCTTAGAAGTCTGAGAGAAAGTAAATCTGAGTGATTCAAGTAGCAGTCTTTTGCATAATTCTTTTTCAACAAGTACATACCCTTTGCTACCTTTCAAGTACGGATTTAAAAATTGTAAAATTTTCATTAATCACAACACCTAAGTAGTTCCCATAATTTTTCTCATTTAGGCAGATGACAAAACTGAGTTGACAAGTCAGAAACACTTTACAAGGCTGCAAACTACACACATCAGTACCAAGATGTCAAGCAACAACTTTGAGGGAAAAATATTTTTTAAATAATCCTAAAATGTCTATTAAATCAATAAAAAAAAGTCAACATAGTTTTCAAATTATTATCCAAATTTCCTACTCCATTTTTCAAAAAGTGCCACCTCTCATCTTTAGAAGCATTTCAAAGTTTTCTTATCTTACTCCCAGAGAATCATTTACATTCACCGTGTCAAAAGGAAAATTCAAAGTCTACTAAATCAAAGATTGAATCCCATTACTAGCTCTTACCTACGATCCTCTGATTTGGGGATGGGGTTGGTGCAGCGTTGGCTGTTATACTTGGCCACATATTCACATTGCTTGAAGGGGGCAGTCTTGTCCTCCAGAACGTGTCTGATACAGAAAGCGTAGCCGTTGAGTCGCCGCTGCTTGCACAGTTTGGGGCTATATGAGCACAAGGGCTTATTGTCAACCTCAGAGAAGTGTATATGTTTCCCTTCATACATCACGTGACTCTATTCCTTGTGAACATCAGCTAAAAGACCACCACAAAAAAAGAAACCCAAATGATAAATTAGAGAGTATAAGGTAGATTTAAGTTAAGAATTTCACTGAGGGACTTCTGGCCCCACAGCCATACCTGATTTTAAATCTTCTGCACCATAGCAATGTTAAGAGAACCCCAAGGATACCACACTTTGGAATGCTGCAGAATCAAGATGAAGCAGATTGTCTACAAAAATATCAAAAGGCCTAGTTAACGAAATGAAATAAGCAAAGCTTGCTCACCTGGGAAATAAAATACTAGGATACCACCCTTCTAATGGGATGGATTCTTCATTGTAAACCAACTTCCCAATATTAAATTCATATAATAAGAGGCATAAAATATTAAGTTACCTTACCCCTCCAAATCGAACTAAATTAACTTCTCCTCTGGTTAAGTTTTGAAAATACCTCAAAAAGTAAGGGGTCTTCCACCAAACAAATGTCATAAAGTGGCAGGTCTTTTCATTTCATTACTGGTGCTGATGAGCTATACCTTTTGTCAAAACCCAAATCTCTTTACAATGCCAACAGACCTCAAACGTCCTTAAGAAAGTCTACATTTTTTGATAAGTTGTCAAATATTTGGCAATTTGTAACAAGTGTTTCTATGAAATACAAAAAAGCAAATTGCCGTTTTTAAAAAAGCCATTTTCCCTTTAATCTTCCCCCTCACTTATCCCATCCAAACTATAGACTTCTTGAGCCCAAAGACTAATCACCCCACCACAACCCCACCACTCAGGTAGGGCTCTGTACCACAGGGCTTCCCAGTGAGACCGCCAGGGAGTCCAACCTTTTGGCATCTCGGGGCCACACTGAAGACAAGCTGTTGTCTTGGGCCACACCTTAAATACACAAACACTAAAGAAAACTGATGAGTACAAAAAAGGTTTTAAGTAAAATTACTATTTTATGTTGGGCCACATTCAAAGCCTTCCTGGGCCACATGCAGCGGCTGGACACCCCTACAAGTTTGCAATAGAATAATAATCGTGGTCTGTGAGTCTTTGAAGGTTTAGTAAGAAAATGGAAGAAAGAAAAAACACAATATACACTCCTTCTCTAAACACAGAAGTTCCAGCAGTAGCATTTATGTATTATAGCACCACATAAGTCTACAATGAAGCTGAATCAACTAATTTGTCAAGTCAGGACTGTAGTGGGCTGATGTGGTCTAACATTGTGTCCACACTCTAAAAGTCACCCACGTCTGATGGAACAGCTTGGATACCAGCTACAAGAAAATTACAGGAGTACGCTCTCCTTTACTGAACTCACTGTGAAATTCCTTACACCAGTGAACGACAAGATAATGTAAATGACGAGAGTCAGAAGATAGGTTTGCACAAGTCCAAAATCTGGACTTCGTTACCTTGAACAAGTCATTTAACCTTAGTTTTCTCATCTGTAAAAGAGGGATAGTGACAGTAGCTATGTTTCCCCAGGCTGCTCCAAGGATCACACGATATAGAGCAGGCAGCACACTAAGTATCGTGCCTCGCACATGTTAAGCACTGAACAAATGAAAATTATTATTTGTGTTAATTCTTATTATTACTACACTCTACCTGCCAGTGATACAAAATAGATCATTTGTATTACCCCTGGGAAGAATTTCACTTCCTTTAGTTGGGAAAATAAACCAAAAACCCTGAAATATTATCTTGGTTACTAAAAATCACATTGGGGGGAGGTGGCAAAGGAGGAAAAATTGAGACAACTGTTAATAGCATAAACAATAAATATTTAATTAAAAAAATAAAAATCACATTCATCACTGAGTAAACCTAATCACATACCAATGTAAAACAAAAATAATAGCTTTCCCCATGCACTTTATTAGGGTTCAAGAAAAAGTTGGGACTAAAATTTCAAATCTAGCTGCCCTGAAGGTCTGGGTCTATTTCAAAGTAAACCCAGGCTGTTTCATTTTTACACTCTCTGGCCTCCTCATCCACCTTTACAGATTAGTTTAAGTAAATCTGTAACTCCAGGGGAAAAAACCACACTGGATATAAGAGAAAAAATTAATTTCATAATCAATTTGATTGCCATTATGAAAAAAAGCAGCCTACATATCCATATGTATAACATTTTGTAAATCAAGAAAGATGTCTGAGGGCAGGCATAGAGGGATATGAAGGACAGTGTTTACTTTTTACTTTGACATATTCCAGGATATACAATCATGTCTGTTGATTTTCCCTTTCTTTTCAGTTGTACATTTTTTTTCATTTGAATTGGCCAGACTACTGAACAATGGTAGTAATAGCAACCACTGTTACTCCTAACTTTAAATGAGATTGTTTTGAGTCAATGGTAGGAAAATTGCCAACTTTCATCATAATGTATTTCCTGTTATGTTAAGGAAGTATTAAGTAATTCCTATTATATTGAGTTGTTTTAAAAAAACCAAAACTCAGAATTAATGGTTAATTTTACCAGACTATTTTTAACCTTCTGAACACATGATCATTTTTCTCTTTCATACTTTTTAAAATACGGTGTTCAGTATCTTCTTCTTACAGATCTGGGATGAAAGCAACTTGGTCACTATGTATTATTCTCCTATTGTGTTGCTGAGCTATACTTGCTAATTTTTAAAATTTTTGTTTCTGAGAATGGGCTAATTTCCTCTTTGTGTGCTTTGCCAGAATTGGGTATCAATATAATGTTTCAAAAAATAATTTAGAAAATCTTCCTCACTTTCTATGTTCTTGAACAAGTTAAAAAAAGCACTGCAGTTATAATGGTCCTTAGAAGGCTGCCTGGACTTAGTAGTGCTTTTTTGTAGTGAAATCAGGTTTTCAATTTTATCTGCATACAATTTAGCAATGTGACCTCTTACATTTAATTTCCTAAATATATGTGAATTATTCTCATATTCTGTGTATTCATCCATACATGTGTGATATTTGTGCTTTCTCCCTTTGGTCACGGCAGGTTCAATAGGGGTTTATATGTTTCATATTTTTACCAATATTTCCTTAAAAAAAATACCAAATCTCTTGGATTTATTAGTACTTCCATGTATGTTTTCTAATTCATTAATCTGTTTTTATCTTTGATAATTCTTTCTGCTTTCTTCCATTGTTTTTGTAATTTCTTGTGCTGACTTCTTCCATTTTCATTTTTTCTTACTTAGTAATTTATAAATTTTCCCGAGTACTGCTTTAGCCATATTCCATAGGTACTAGTACCCAGAATTTTGATTATCAGTACTTTCCAATTTATTTGGATTTGATATCTTAATTTCTCCTTTGACCCAAGAGTTATTTAATTTTTCCAAATGGCAGAATTTTATGCTGTCCTTTGTTTTAGTTCTAAGTAAGAATAAGGAGCATAACCTGCATATATTTCTGCTTTTTGGATTTGACTGAAATGTTCTTTAAACCTCAAGTATTATTATCAGGAGCCTACTAGGTATTCTTGAAAAAGTATATTCATTGTTGCCAGGGTACGATGTTTCTTATATCATATATTGGGGTATTAACATCCACTATGTTATTATATTATTTATGTTATCTGCCTGCTCTATCAAGAGCTGAAAGATATTGCCATGAGAGGTGTTTATAAGAGCCAAGATCTAGAAACAGCTCAAGTGCCCATCAATAGATGAGTGGATAAAAAAAGCTGTGGTACATTTACACAATGGAATACTACATGGCTGTTAAAAAAAGGAAATCTTACCTTTTCCAATAGCATGGATGGACCTGGAGATTATTACCCTAAGTGAAATAAGTCAGTTGGAGAAAGACAAATACCATATGATCTCACTTATACATGGAATCTAATGAGCAAAATAAACTGACGAACAAAATAGAAACAGAGGTGTAGATACATGGAACAGTCTGATAGGGAGGAGGGAGTGGCCTGGATGAAAGAAGGTGAAGGGATGAGCCAAAGAATGTATGTGTATAACTCACAGACACAGACAGCAATGTGGTGATGGCCAGAGGGAAGGAAAGCAGGGGGTAGGGGAATGGAGACATCTGAATTGGTGTCAACGATAAAACTAACGGGGAAAAAATGTGAAGAAAAAAAAAGCTGAGATGAGTCAAAATCCCCTACTATAATCTGATGTCTGTTTCTCCTTATATTTTTTGTTTTATAAATTTTAAAACTGTATTATTTGATATGAGATTCATAACCACTAGACTGTCATCCTTTATCTCTAGGAAATGCAACTCAAGTGATTTTTGTCTTGAATTCAATCTTGTCTGACACAAATATCTGGATTCTCATTTTGTTGTTTGAATTTGCCAGTTAAGTGTTTGCCCATCCTTTTACTCTCAAGTTTTCTGAGGCACTGTTTTAAATCATGGGTCAGAAAACTCCTGCATACAGGATAAATTTGGCCCACTATTTTTGTAAATAAACTTTTATTGGAACACTATCCTGTTCATTCATTTGCATGTTGTCTATGGCTGCTTTCATGCTGTAACGGTAGAGTTGAATAGTTCCAACAGAGGTTGTATGACTGCAAAGCCTAAAATATTATCTGCTGGTCCCATTTCAGATGAGATCTCTTAACTGGCTTGACTTTTGCTCTGAGTGTAATTTTCTTTTAATAAATGAGTTTAACCAATTTATAATTTGATATTTATTTACATGGCAAATATTTCATCTTAATTTTATTATCTTACTTTTTTGCATTGCTTTTAGCTTTCAGTTCTTTTTATTATATATTTCATTATATAGGCTGTTTTCTTGGAAGATTTAATCTGTGTCCTTTAGATAACATTTCTTTTTTTTTTTTAAGGTTTTATTTATTTATTTATTTTTAGAGAGGGGAAGACAAGGAGAAAGGGAGAGAAACATTAATGTGTGGTTGCATTTCACATGCCCTGTGCTGGGGACCTGGCCCACAACCCAGGCATGTGGCCTACACTGGGGACCGAACCGATGACCCTTTACTTTGCAGGCCGGTGCTCAATCCACTGAGCCACACCGGCTAGGGCTAGATAACAATTCTTTACTGTACACTAAGAAAAGTAGTATACTTAGCATTATCATGATTGATCTCATGTTATAAATGAGAAAAATTTCCATTTTTTTTAAACTACTCATCCCAAACCCAGTATTTTTTCCTTATATAATTTCTACATTGCCTTAGTTTATAACATTTTAATGCTGGTTCTGCATTTACATTTATTTGATGCTAATCACTAATCCTCTTAATTT